CACGACCGCCGCGACCACCACGACCACCACGACTACCACGGTTACCACGATTACCACGCTTACTACGACTATTGCTCGAATCTTGTTCCGTTGTAGTTACTCTTCGCCTACCTCGACCTCGACGATTCCCGCATAAGGTGGTGGATATTTCAGGTTCTAAATTATTATCAAATATTTCTTCCTCTGAATTAACATTTAATTCATCTGATCCACGTAATTCGTTGATATTAGCAATATTAGATTGGTCATAAAAATAGGAAGAGGCATTATCTACTAGTAACAAGACTTGACGATTTTGAATGCAAAATCTTTGGTCTAAATCTTTTAACCATTCTGAAAATATATCATTTCTCATCCAAGCACGAGAATTTGCACGATAAATAACAGGTAAAGTGTCATAATTAATACGAAAAAGTGCGCGAGGTGAGATTGATGATCCGATTACTAACGGTTTTAATTTTTCTGTTCCGGTTGCATTACATGCTAACATAACAGTAATTCGTGAATGATCCTAATAAAGTAATAATATAAAAATTAAATTTTTAAAATAAAACAATAATTTATATTAAATTTCACTAGAACTTTAACCGTATTAAATAACATAATTTGAATACCATTCAAGTTACCATTCGAACTGTCATTCAATGCTAGCACATAATTTCACGGACATGCATGTCCGTGAAATCATGTGCTAGCATTAAATGATAGTTCGAATGGTAGCTTGAATAGTATTCGAATCATGTCATTTAATATGTGAAAGTTTTGAATATCAATATTACGAGTGCTATAATAAACTAGCCTTTTTAAAACCAGGTCTTGATTGAGATGCAAGTGTTTGATCTGGTGCCATGCGAAAAAAGAGCCCTGTTTCATCTGCATTAAACACATTATCTAATGTATAATTTTCAATCAAGTCGTGTAATTTTTTTTTATATTCTGGAAGTAAAGATAATGGTGCACTATTCGATTCACCGTGTAATCGAAAATTTCTAAGGTTGTTACGTCGTTTGAATTTATGAATCCATCCATTTGAAAATTTTAAAGCATCGTCGCCCAAATTTAAAGCTTTTGCAAAAATTGTTGCTTTCTCTTTAATCATTAATTCTGTTATAATCATTTCACCACGAGTGACTTGTTCGATCCAGAGCTTCATTGCTTGATTCAATAAAGGATATTTTACTTGCTTATGTCGAAAAGTTATAGAGCTCGATTGATCATCTGCAACAGCTAACCATCTTGATTTATCCTTTAAAATTTTAGAAATTGTGGTCCGATCTAAATTTAAATTGGGATCTTGAGAATTAAAGTGGTTTGCAATATCTAGTTGTTTTACATGAGGATGGCTTTGACTATATTTACATATTTCTCGTTTTAAATAATCACTAATAGCTGTCCTTGTTCTTTTTTGCGACGAACTTTCAGACATGTAGGTAAGACCAAATATTCACTTAAAAAATGTAAAACAAATTGCACTTTCACTTTATTCAATAAAAAACGTAAAAAGAATTGCACTTTCACTTTATTCAATAATAATCACTTTTATAGAAGTACAATAATATAAATTCGAATCTAATTAATACAGTTACAAAATTTTTTTTATCTAAACTATTGCAAAGTGAAAATTAGAATTTCATTATTAATTAATAATTCAAACAAATCGTTATTTCTAGTTTTGCTTGGCATAACACACATAACACTCTTTTAAAGGATGGCGGTTTCTTCACCAACATCCAATTCATAGACATTCTGGCTACCAACAAGTGCTCGCTTTATTTACTCTGGGCAAGTCTTTTGATCGATATAATGAATTAGGATCCAAATTCACACGATTAATAATTATCGCCGATCATAATGAAATCAGATTAAAATGAAATGTGGGTTTCTATTTAACCTTCTAAAACCCACTTATACTTGTTTAATATAAATTCCACTCTAAAACTAATCTTTACCCTTAATCACTACTAAAAAATGCGCTTTAATTCGTCTTAATAATTATCTTAATAGATGCAGGTTAAATGACGCAATAAGTTATTACCTTTTAATACCCGAAATTGGGAGAGCGATAAATGGGCTTGTGCAGATTAGCTTTGAGCGTTACAGGCAAATGTTTATTAAGGGATTCGGGTTTAATGATGGTTGGAAATTAAGGAAAGTATGATTGTTATAATGGACAATATTTTATTCCTTATCTACTGGTTCTTCATTCGTTATTCGTTGCAATCTTGTTCTTCGTTAGCTATCGTTAGTTTTTTTTCCCGCTTTATAAACAATTGCTATATTTATACAATAACACTATGTCTGATTGAAAATTAGTCATGAATGTTCCCACCATGCGAACTTTTTACGTGCCAAATTTAGTTATCGCGCGGTGATATAATTTTGATCCCTAATATCTTTTAATAATTTATCATGTTTCTGCTTGTTCGGGTGTTGGTGTGCTTGGTCGGCTTGGGTCAGGTGTTACAACCAGGGAAAGACGAAAAAAGGAAAGTTAAAAAATTAACATATAACAGCCATGGCAATTTCGCTTAATACCCATACAATCACCTGATTGTTGTCCGATTGCGTGTGATTGTAAAAGATTATAAACGATTATTTAATTTAAATCCCTTTACTGTATTATATAAGGACATTAAAGGAAAACCTGTTATCAGATTTTTTTGTGCAGTTAGCCGCCTATGGAAAATTATGATAGATTTTCTATAGACGGCTAACTGACATAAAAGTCTGATAGCAGGTTTTCCTTTGATAGCACTCGTGTGAGATTTCCTAGTGGCGCGATAAAAAATGCGGTGAATGCATTTGATAGAAGAATTTACAGTATTTGATTTTAAAAACGATGGGGTTTTGATTATCGATCTCCTGTACAAAGGCTAAAAAAAGCATCTGCACAAAAATAGAAAAAGTGGGGTTTTGTCAAGTTTACTAACTAAAGATTTATTGCCATGCCCCGAATTGATAAACGAGGATAAAAAAGCTGAAAAGTGCGTGACTTTTACGAGAATGAAGAAAAAGATCAAAAAAGGCAAAAAAGCAATATAGTTCAAGGAAGTAGAAGAAAGAGTCCTAATTAGTGAAGACAAGAGAGAAGTTAA